GCCGGGCCGGGCCGGGCCGGGCCGGGCACCCGCGGCGGGCTCGGGCTCCCTGCGGCGGCGTGCCCCGGGCTCCTTCTGGCCGAGGAGGAGCGCCGAGCGACGCTCTCCGGCTCCCACCCTCTGGGCTTTCATTCAGTTTTCCACCGAGCTCAGCAGAATTTTTGAAGAGCGGGGAAAGTTGTGAGCTCGCGTGCCGAGTGCCTGCAGCGTCCTGCACGGTGCGGCGGGCGCTTGGAAAGCGAGACGCTTATGCCCAGCAGTTTCGTGCTGTAATTTTCCGATAGTGCCGAGGGAGAGGTGCAGGCACTATCCCGCACCTCTTCCATCACCAACTTGTTGTTATCAAAGCCTGTTTATTTTACGTATTTTTTCCTTTTTTCGTGGAGCCAGCCCTGAAACCCTTTACTCAGGAAAACCTCCCAGTGACTTGCAATGATGTTTTCCTGGGATAATGTCTGCACAGTGTGGATCCCTGATGGTTCAGCGTTACAGTGAGCGTGCTGTCTCGGTATTTATAAATTCAGTACCTTGCAATGATGTTTTCCTGGGATAATGTCTGTACAGTGTGGATCCCTGATGGTTACAGTGAGCGTGCTGTCTCGGTATTTTTAAATTCAGTACTGTACTCACAGCGCTGGAAACTTGGCTTTCTGCAGCAGCACGCCCTGCACCTTCGTTGACAGCTGTGTCCCAGAGCAGAAGGGATGTGCACTGAGGATGGACGTCAATATAACTGTTTCCTTTCATAGCAGTTCTGAGTTAGTCATCTAACTCTGTCTCGTGCAGGACTCCTAATTTTTCCTCAAATGTCATGTATTTCAAAAAGACATGTCATCTAGATGACTTCTTTCTGGCAATTTGTAAAAGGCACTGAGTAGTGAATTGTAGGTGCTCTTCTTTCAGAGTTTTCAAAAGCTATTACTGGGAAGTAATTTTGTGCTAACTGGTATCAGAAGCCAAGTGGAATATGATGCTATGACACTTGAGTTCCCTTGCATGCAGTCATATGGCTGAAACCCATACTTACCTGGATGAACACATGCATCCATTTGCACACACTTTCTTTTTTCTTTTGGTCTTGTTTTCTGCTGCATAAACCTTTAATACTGTATTTAACATTGTATTAAACATTGTATCCCAAAAGAGCAAATAAATCACCTTTTAGGATTAGGAGCTAGCATTCTAGCTCATGGGTTGCTTTTGTTCACATCACAGCATCATTTATTACAGCCTTGTGAATATAAACATTTAACTGGAAACTAACCATGGACTCTTTGCTTCTAAATCTTCTGAATGAAGAGTGATAGGAGCATGAGAACTAGGTGAATCAGGCTTTTCCATACAGAGCTTCCCAAACTAAATTATGCTTTTGGACCTCTAAGACAGTGTGATAGCCAGAAGGTAGGCCTCAAAAACGGTGACTGCTCTTCATATTATGAGTTCCTTAAAAATAGGCATGGAGTTCATTGTATTTGTTATTAACTTCACCCTACTAAGTTCTATTTGTAAACTATTCTTTGAATCATAACAGCTAGAAATTATATATATTGAAACGTGTAGAAGTAGAAATTCTAAAATCTGAAGCTTTGTGAAGATGCACAATACCCCAAGACTTTTGATAAAATCACCAGGACTAGCCTTAGGAATAGGGGGAAAAACAGAAGTGTGCCTTCATGAGTCCATGCTTTCTTGTGTGCAGGATGTGTTACAAAGGATAACTTTTTTCCTACACCATTAGCTGGTGTAGAAATGGTTTAACAGCCTGACCTCCAGACAGAACTCTTATTGACCCTCCTCTGCAACACTTGTCTGAAAGGTTATGCTCAAAGGGAGAGCTGACCACCAGGAGGGAAAAATCCAAAGAGACATACTAAGAAAAAGAACACTTCCAAAAAGAATACTTCAGCTTCAGGTGTCTGGTGGCCTGGCAGAGAGCAAACCCTCATAGCAGACAGTAAAATACTGTAAGACTCATCCACTGAAGGAATCAGACACAGTAAAAGAAGGAAAATTGTCAAAGTCTGATTTCTCTATATAACCTCCCAAAAGATTTATGGATATAAAAGAATAAGTAGTTAGAAAAACAGTTTAATATCTAGTAATTCAGCTGTTCAGTAGGAAATACATGGAAGAGCCACCTAGTAATATTCTTAAAGGTTGTCACAGAAGGTCGCCCTGTGGTATGGCACTCCGAGCTTCCAGTAGCAGGGTGCCAGGGCCTCTCCTCCTGCAGTGCAACAGTGTGACACACATCTGGCAAGTCCTTGTTGCAAGGTCCTGGCAGGCCCTGTAGTTATTTTATGCTCTTCAAAATACTGTCTTTCCTGCTATCGTGGGATTTTCAGAAACATCTCTTTCAGTTTATCAGTTCTCTTCCTTTTTTCTTCTTTTTCTGCCATCTGATTTTTTGTCTTTATAATAGCTTAGAACCACTTCTGCTGCTACTTGAGGTGATGAGTATTGCCAAAATACCTGGGAACAGCGTGAGCAAAGCTACAGTTTCTTGACAATCTTGAAGGGAGAATACACCTCTAAAACCCCAGAGTGACTGTCAGGTAGACCAATCCTAAAGCCTAAAATATACTAGGAACCATATCTCCATGGGCTTTATGCATCAGAAAGTCTCATGAACTTTAAAATCCATCTTCACAACATTTTACATGGTTAGTTTATGCAAACTGTTTCAAACTAATTTGTTGTCATTTAAAAACTTGAATTAATGCATTAATTCTGTTGGTAACAGGGATATTAGGCTTAAATATTATTTTTTGTTAGAAATTTTGTTCTGTTGATTTATGCTCTCTTATTCTCTGCTTTACCCAGAAAATAAGCTGAGCTTTTTCCATTTTCAGAGAACAGATTTTCCTTTCCCTAGTTGACTGTGCCTTTTCCAGCAAATGTGGGGAGGACAAGGAAGAAAACAATTTGAGGGAAAATAGGCCTCAAAGTTCCAGTATGGCATTTCAAAACCTGTTTTACATCCTGTATTTGTTTTGCAGGGAGTTTCCACAATGGAGAAGAGGGAAGGTGGTAATCATGCCATTGATCAGAATGCAGGTCAGAACATCATGCCAAGAAGAAATACAGGAAATCTTAACTACTTGGTAATGTTTCTGTAAAAAAGCAGCTTATATGTCACATAGAATATTGCAATCCTTGATTCATTTTTGTCCAGAGACAGAGTTGCAATCACACTGGCCTATCACAAATATTTCTGAAATGTCGTCACAGTATTGACATGAAGAGATAAAAAGATAGAGAACATCTCATTCAATTTAATCACAGTCCATGATAAAAAATAAACAAAGCTTGAGGCAACTAAAAACTACATGAGGTTAGCTGCTAATTCTATCTTACCAGATGAGCAAAACTCCATAGAAATAATTCGGGATTTTTATGCAGGAATATAAAATTTATCTTTGGGGGAGTCTTCATGATAGCAACATTGTACTAAGGAAGTTTTCCACATCACACAAAAAAAAGGTCCAGAAAAAAAATCCTTTAATCCTTTCTTGTGCATGGTGTTTGGGCTACATCATTAAGTCCATGGCTGAAATTTGACATTTGAAATCTATAACTTATATAATAAGAAGCTGAAATGATGCTTCACATAATGTAATCCTTCCTTCCTTGCAGTATAGTTATCTTCCTGGAATGAGAATCTATTTTAAAATCACTGCAGATAATGAAAAATGGGAAATCTACACTACAAGTGCTTTACTTTAGTGCTGACTATGCTGTTTGAAATATTATGTTTCCAACTTACCTTGTCTCTAACAGTGTATATGTTTTGTATAGGGTTCCACTGCAGTAAGTTGTAAAAGTCATGATGGCAAATACTGTCATTACAGAAGTTTCTAATCTTCTCTTGAACTCACTTTGTATTTCCATTCTGTCCCTTCCAGAATGTGGATATGCAGGTTGCCAATCCATCAGAAGCAGCTGCACTTTTTGATTTACATCAAGCACACCATTTTGGTGAGTTTGAACACTCTTCAGAACAGCTCTGCAAGCAGGATCTGTTCCCTAAGTGGCACTTGCCAGTGAAGATAGCATCTGTGATCTCATTATTAACATTTATTTACACTTCCATGAGAGATGTCATATATCCTTTTATAAGCAAAAAGGAAAACGTTTTCTATAAAATTCCAATCCTTGTCATAAACAAAGTTTTACCAGTGACTTCAATTACCCTTTTAGCACTAGTGTATTTACCTGGAATATTAGCTGCTAGTTTCCAGCTGCACTTTGGCACCAAGTATAAAAGGTTTCCCCAGTGGCTGGATAGATGGATGGTATCAAGGAAGCAATTTGGACTTCTCAGTTTCTTCTTCGCTACACTGCACACCTGCTATAGCCTGTGCTATCCAATGAGAAGATCATACAGATACAAGCTGCTGAACTGGGCATTCCAGCAGGTACGGTGGGCACACGATCACCTACTCTTCTGTATTCAGAGAATCCTTGCAAATCTGGATGGGGGAAAGACATTTTCATTGCCTTTGTTTGATTTTCAAGTACATTCACAGAGAGCACTGATCAGGGGTAGAGCAGGACCTAGTTACCAAAGCATGTAATAGAGTCAAGAGTCATCACAGCTGTGCCAATGTATATTGTATATATAAGTATTTTTCTTAATTTGAGATTTTTTTCCATCTGTAAAATGCACAAAATTGTATCTTACAGGAACATGTAAGTCTTTGGCACACTATTAGTTTAGTGTAGATTTCTTCTCTGGACCAGAAAAAACTGAGCACTGAACACAACATTTTTAGACACCTTTGCAGCAGTAAAGGAGGGCTGAGCTAAATCACAGTAATCTGTATTTCCACAAACTGGCTCATATTTGGCTCACATTTGGACTGATACACACTACCTTGTTTAAAGACAGGATTTCAGTGATGCTTCTGATTCATGGTCAATAATTGGCTTGCAAAGCTCTCCAATGTCCTCTGTAACCAGAGAATTCCTAATGCTCACCCATTTCCTTGGGTGCCATAAGTAATGCAGCATTCAGAATATTCCAATATAAGGTATACACTGCAAATATATGTTTTTATTACCCCTAAAGTCTTTATTATTTATATATATCATTTATATAATTAAAAATTATTAAAAGCACAATATGATGATGTCTGATTCTTAAGGTTTTTGTAAACAGTCAAAAGACCTGTTGAAAACTCTGAAATCAGCCTTACTGACTTGAATGGATTACTAGAAATTTCCTTGAGATTCCAGTCTTCAAGAGGCAGAAATTATCATATTTGGGGCATATTATGCCATGGTGATCAGTAGCAGGATCAAAGTGCTGTTTTAAGTAGTTGTAAGAGAAGCTTTGACATCAGTTTATTAAAATCACAAATGTACCAAGTTTTGTTTTTTAAAAATAACAGAGCTAAACAACTACCATGGCAGGATATTTTTATTAAGAAGGCCTGCTGAATTACCTCCCTGAAGTAGAGCTGTTAATATATTTCCTGTTGTTATAATCTCCCTGATATGGTATTTATCCATAGGTGGGTTTTTTCCTTGTCCAAACCAAGATTTATCCTTGCTGTGAAGGCAGGTTAAGAGGCCTCAGAATCAGGCTCTCCTGGGCTGAGACACTGATGAAGTCTAAATGGTTCTCTCTAAAAGCTCACCTTTGCCCTGGAGATACTGGTGAAGACTTTTGTCATCAGAAGTAAACAGCAGTTACATTCAAAGACATTCAAACAAACCAAAATACTGTCTTTCTTTGCTTATTTCATTAATATTATGGTGAAAACAGTAAAACTATATTTAACACAAACAGCCAAGTGTGCCAGTATGTAATTTTTATGGTGTTCTTTTGGCAGGTCAAACAAAAAAAAGAAAATGCCTGGATTGAACATGATGTTTGGAGAATGGAGATTTATGTGTCTCTAGGAATTCTGGGACTTGCTTTGTTGGCCCTGTTGGCAATAACATCAATTCCATCTGTCAGTCTCTCTTTGACCTGGAGGGAGTTCCACTACATTCAGGTGTGCATGAATATCATTACTGCATGTTGTTAGTCCCATTTGTAGAACTGTGTGTTATCAGCTAAGGCTATTAGGAGTTAGAAATATCAAACACAAAGTCAGTGAAACCAATGGAAAAGTTTGTTCCGTACTCTTTGTTAACTAGTTTGTGAGAAATGTTCTTTCCATTACTCTTTCGTCAGGAGAACAGACCATTGTGTTCAGTGTGTAAAATGGAAACAAGAGACAAGTCCATACCACTTTTTTCTTCTCCTGACTTTGTGACCAGCAGCAGTTGTCCCTTTGAGACCTTTTCTTAGCTCTGGTGCTGAAGTAATTTTCTTGGTATCTTATCACTCTGGACCATCCCATGTCCTGCTGAATTTGGAGTAGGTGGCATTGAACCAGTCAATGCTGTTTCCATATGACACAGTGTATTCTGAAAGAGACATCTTAGAACAGATGCTGGATAATCAAATCCAGCCAGTCTTGAGTTTGCTACAGCTGTGCTTGTTTCCTTAACCCAGGCATCTGGGTTGCTGTCGATTCTCTTAGGTCATATGCAGTAATAATCAGGGTGGTTCTGCTGACATCAGTATGGTCACACTAGACTTAAGCCAGTGTTGGATCAGGCCCTCAAACACCAAAATCTGAACATTCTACTAAGGACCTGGCATTTGAAAATTTGGTTTATATTTAAAAAGCAGATCTGAAGTGTATAATCACTGATTACTGATTTGATATTCTGCACACTATTAAGTCTATAATTAGCCTATAAGTAACAGAAGTGTACAGAGAATAGGGAAAAGTCAGGAGTCTCCAAAAGCATGACTGCTTTCACTATTGAAAGACTATGGTGAAGAAACCCAGATGAGTAATACTTCTGTGTTGGACTTACTTTATAAACAAATAACTTTACTACTTAAAAATCATGTTCTGTAGCAGAACAGCAGTTGGAAGCTGTAGCATTCAGCAGTTGAAAATACAGTGACTTCACTGATGAGTGCAAGATTATTAAGTGACAAAAAACTTGAACTTAATAGTAAATTTTCTTTACTCCTGAATTTTGTAAACAAGCTAAGCCAAATTTAGCGCTTTAAGTGAAAGACTTGAGTTTCCTGTAGTTTTGTAGGGCTTTTGCCATAGTACTAGACTTACTTGAGTTTGTGATTTTAATTTAGCTTAAATTTTTTCTTTGCAAATATTCAATTAATCCCTTAATATATCTGGTTTTGAACTCATATTGATTTATCACAGAATTAAAGTAATTTAGTATACAAATGTAAATTGAGATATTCGGGATTGATCATGTTTCAGGAATAACCTGCAATCTCTTCTGTATTTTAGCTAAGTATCATAGCAATACTTGAAAACTGTGCCTCTTCCATTTTCTTTACACTGGTATAAAGGAGTCTTGACTTATAGTTGTTACCTTTTAGTTTAAAGCCAATGGTTGCTTTTCTTTGACTTGAGCATGTTGGTCAAGGCCCATCCAGATTTCTGTATTTGCTTAACAGAGTACTTGTTTTAACAAGTTGGGGAAATAAATAGCTTGCTATTTTCTTTCTCTTTTCAGAGCAAGATGGGATATTTAGCCCTGCTGCTATGCACTGTTCATGCACTGGTGTTTGCTTGGAATAAGTGGGTTGATGCTAACCAATTCATCTGGTATATGCCACCTTCATTTATGGTTGCAGTTTTTCTTCCTATTGTAGTTCTGCTTTGTAAATGCGTACTGCTCCTCCCATGTTTTAGGAAGAGGATAAGAAAAATCAGAAGTGGTTGGGAAGCTAAGACAGAAGCCAATCAAACCAGCATAACTTCCAGACTGTAGATCAAATATGGAAGTTTCCTGTCTATGTATCTAACTATGCTCAAAGCCATGAAATTTTCACTCACAAGCTCTGTTTTCACATTTGCTATAGATGTTTCTTTCTCACTTTTTTTTTTTACTTCAGGCGTATGAGATACTTGATGCAATGTTGTTGTTTTCAAAGACAGAAAATGAAAATATCTATTTTACACTTTAATCTATTCAGTGCTTTGGTATTTGATGATTTCTTTCTTCTGATTCACTGCTTTTAAAATCCAAGTGTTTCATTGTCTCAATCCCAGTTCTTTTGTATGCAAAAACAAACATAAATTATTTCTCCAGATGACCACAGAAAGTAAAAAAATTATTACACCACAGAGCCCAGGAATGCTTTCTGCTTCACACAGCCATGTGTGTACCTTCATTAAGTTTCAGAATTATAATGGGACAAAAACTAGAGTATTTATCATCCCATTACCTCTTAGCACCTGTGTTTCACTCTGTAGAGTGGGGACCTTGGCATATGAGCCAGACAGAAACTGTGTATTCCTGCCAGGTCTTGAACGTACACAACTGAGCAAGCAGAATTACAGGGATCTTTGCAAGGTAAATATCTCCTGAGGCTTGGGCACACTCTAAAAAAAGAGTTTTTAGACTCAGATTTCCATCTTATCCAGGACTAGGTGTGTCCCTGTTTACTTGAAACGATAAAAGATTTCCCATTTTTTATTCCATGAACACATTCTTTTGTTTCTGATGCTGGAAATTTTCCATGCTTTTGACCTAAGCCTGCAGCCCTTGACACGTGCTAAACTTTATTTGCGCAAATTATTCCAGTGGGATAACTCCATCAGGTAAATGTGTTTTTTTGTTTACTCTAGGACCAGCACAATTGTGTGACTGGAAGAAAAACATTAAAAATAGACATTTGAATCTTGCCAATGGTTTGGTGAGATTTTCATGTTAAATGGTTTCCGAATGCATTTGCTTTTACAGAAATTTTCCTAATAACTTTAATAAGCTGATTAAATCCTACTTTCCTTACATTGCATAGGTCTGTGAAAGTTTTAAATGAATAATTCATTTGTTAGTATTTCTTTTGAAATATGTTATTCAGTAGTAAATATTTTCACCCAGCATCAGGAACATTTCTGCCAGTCTGCCTGCAGAGTTGACTAGGACATGGACTGTTGATGCCACCTATTGCTGCAATCCTCTGAGTGAGAACTGTAATTGGTATTGGCTCTGGTATTAAAAAAAAACAGGAAAACAACATATGCCTAAAAAAATGTAATACATGGTGCTAATGAATCTGTTGTCTCTTTCTGGACTTGTACATGGAGCATAAATAACAGACAAATTAAATAGGTACAGGCATATTACATTTAGTATTTTTCTGGTTGTTACCATTCAATTATTGCAACTTAAAAGCTGGCCTTTTTTAAATTTGCACATAATGTAATACTGTGAAAGTAACTGGGGACATGGTGACCTATATAATATAGATTGAAATCTGTCTGAAACCAGTAATGCATGTCAGAGGCCAAAACCCTACAATACAGAAAGGGAAAAGTATGGTGCTCATTGCATTTGCATTTATATTTCCATGAATGAAATAAATATTTTATAAGTAATAAACTCTATGCACTTGTTACAGAAGGTGGTCCAAGACAGTATAACTTCATTCACTTCAACTAGTTAATACGGTTTGAATTGATAACATAAATTACAGGGGCAAACCAATTTCAAGATCATCACATACTACCCAAACTGACCTTTTACACTCATCATTCAGCTGGGGACATTAGCACACTTCAGACTTTTCTCTCTAGCATTGCCCACAGGCAAACCCAGAAGTGTCTTCTACGACATGAAATTTACATACAGTCTACAAAAGCTATTCCAAAACTCACATATGACATCCAAACATTCAAGCATGTTTTTCCCTACTGATTGTTTCAAGTAGGAGCCAGGTTTTCTGTGTCACATCTAGCCATTTCTCTAGAAACTAACACTGAATGCTGATAGCCAGAACTTGAGACTTCATAGTGAGTCTCTTAGTAACTCAGTTGCCAGTCTGCAGGCTGCTCAGAGAAATGGTTGACTCCCTATCCCTGAAGGTATTTAAAAGACACATAGATATGGTGCTTAGGGACATGTTCTCATGGTAGGCTTGGCAGTGTTAGATTTATGGTTGGACTCAATGTAAATTATTCTAAGATTTGCTTTTTAGGCATTCAGATACAACAGTGAGGGAGATCTGTATAGGGCTAAGAAGAAAATGCTATTGACAGTATTTAACTTCTCAGTTTATGGCAGACATGATTTAGTGCAATACTGATGAATCTGAGTTCATATGTACCTTTTAATTTATGTTTATGTACCTGTTTCAAATTCAGTGTATTAATAGGCCTATGTACTATTATAATACATTAATTGAATGTGTGTGTGCATTTTAGGCATTTGTATAACACTACATGTATGCATTTGTATAACACTAATTAGTTTTATAAAAATGTGCATCATTAAATGCTTCAATGTATGCTGTATCTGCCATTATGTCATACACATCCAGGGTAAAAGGGTAAAAAGGCACAGTACACTCTAGAAGAGCTGCTGATATAAAGAGTCAAGGGGAACCATTTCCTCCATGCTAGTGAAGAGCATGGAGCCTCCAAAGGAAAGAAAACAAAGATGTGAAAAGCAAAATGGACATTTTCATAGTGTAATGAAATTGCATTTTTCCTGACAGTACCTTTAACTGTATATTCTAGCATTAAAGGATTTTTGAGAAGGAAGAGGAAGCTTTGGAGGGAGACCCAAGATCCCTGAAAAATACTGATCAAAGACCAAGAAAAGTTCAAGAATAGCAAGGGCTTTGAGGAAAGGCATGTGTGGGCATACTTTTTTGTAAGAATCCATTGTTCTAGTGACAGTGGATTTAAAATATGTCTATAAGGCCTGCAAAGTACTTTTTTCTATTGTTACATGTCTCCAATGTATTTGAGAGACACAGAATTGAAACTCTGGAGATATAAATTGTTAAAGGGGCCTAAGGAATTTTATGCCAAATTCATTTGGAGAGGTCATATCCAGAATACACTTCCCAATAACTGATAGCAACAATCATTGTTCAGGAAGCTAGAGCCAGGGCTGTGTTGGCTATTGTGTAATGCAAATTCCTGTTGACAGCAGCATTTACTGTAAGCAGTCCCTCCCTTTGGCCACTCTTCTCTGTTCTCTCAGTGCTGCAAGTTGTTAAAGATGTGTTCATCAGAGGATCTAGTTGAAAAGTAATGCAGAGAGAAGAATTATTCAGCCAGATCCACCCATGGGTCTGCTTCACCTGACAGCCAGCATCCTACATGTCAGTAGGAAAAACTTAAAGAGGAATGGAACAGGCAGCTTAACTTAAACCAGCCCTAAATAAAACGTTCCAAGTTTTATTCCAAGCTCCTAAAATTTAAAACTTACATTATTTCATCATATTTCAGTAGCAAGAATATTCCCTTGCTTCACTTTTTCGTCATATTCTTAGCTTTCCATGAATCAGTGGGCAAAAATGTGCTCTAGAAATTGTCACCAAAACCCATACAAAACTGACTTACGTCTACGTGACTGTGGGCTATGTGGTTTCATTTGTAGACATGATGATCTCACATCTCCCCTTTTCTCCTACATCCAGAGTTTCTAGTACAGTCTCTTAACAACACAAAATTATATGCTAACCATTTTTGAAATTCAAACTAATTTCTTTTAAACTGATTTTCTTTAAATGGCATTAAAGGAATAATTCAAAAAAACAAAACAAAACAAAAAGACCAATTTTTGAAAACACTGAAACCACCCTTGAAGAATGTAATCTGTTGTTGCTGAAAGTGTCTGGCAATGGCTGATCATTGCCACTGATGTTTTTTCAGTAGTGGCAGGATTTCTTGATCCCATGAGCATATTCTGTTGCTGATGGCAAAATTACTTCTTATTATTTCTTTTATTAAAACAAGTCTCATTAAATTCAGTTGCCTCAGAGTTCAATTTTTGCATCATTCTTTGAACTTTTCTGTAGATTAAATTTAACACTTGAATGGATGAAGTGAGGCCAATTTATTAAGTAGGCATAATAAGTTTTCAGAGATTTTCACCTGAAAATACATAAAACCAATCCATTAACTAAACTCTTTAAACATAAAAAAAGACCACAACTACTTCCAATAAAGATTATACAAAAGACATTTGAGTTGCTTTGTATTTTTTGTTTCTTTTTTATGTATATTTCATCTTCATAGCATGAAAGTACATTGCTGAGATCAATGTCTTTGACTTGGTTGAAGATGTGTAGTTATTGTGGAACTTGTAAAATACTACCATTGCTACTGATAGAAGTATTTGGTCCTTAAATTTCCTTTTTGGGGGTTCACTACTAAAAAAGAAGCAAGGCAAATGTGGGAATTTTTTAACTGGATGGTCACATTTGTAGTTTGCAGTCATGTGCAGTCATTATATACAGGCTTACAGTTTATTGTTGAATGTACTCTACTGAAAAATATTTTTCCACCTGAATATCTCCATTACTTGGGATGCTGAGAAGTATCTTACTGCTAGACTTAAAGGAATGGCCATATAACCCACCTCTGATTATTTTTCTGCTTTATTTTTTCCTGTGACTCATATATAAAACTGAATGGCACTTCTCTCTTGCTTGTACCTGTGCATGTACCAGAATAACTTCTGAACAGTGCATCTCATTCATTCAAAAATATCCTAACAGGAAATCCTTAAAAAGAAAATAAACAAGAAGCTGGAACTGGAAAAAAAAAAAAAAAAGCTACTTTCAAACCTCCTCAAGTATCTCTGCAACTTTAGTTTAAAAATCTAACAATTGTTAGATGTCACCCATCATTAAAATCATAATTTCCCCCTTCTAATTTCCATAGACTTTGTACATCTTTATTTGTTCACATAATTTTTTCACATCTTTATTTATTGACTGATAATGACAGACCAAAGTGTATTCTGGGACTGTATGAAGCTGTGCAAAGAGGCATCAACATGGAATCAGAAGGAATAGGACAATTGGCAATCTGTGAAAAAGAGGAAAGGAGACATTGAAAACACTCAGATTTTCTTATGAAAAAGTAAAGGAGGCCAGTTAAAGGGTAAGGGTAAAAATAAGTAGGTGGAGGATACTGAATGAGATCCATGAACTTCATCAAGTTAGGAGGGAATAGAAACCCTGTGGAAACAACCACCATTTCTCTCTCCCTGACCAGACTGGCATCCACAAAACCCTTAGTAAGAGAGATGGGTAAAATGGAGGACAACTGAATGACTGGTGGGACAGTCTGAAAACTCTGAAGTGAATCCTTGAAACAGAGGGAATGGGAGTTTTCGTTATCCACATGGAGTTGGCGAATTGAATGAATAAATACAGAGAGCCTGGGTTTGTGTAGAGTTTGACCTGCACAGCCTATTAAGCTGCAAACTTTTCTCCAACCCTGAAATACCATTTGAGGCATTTCTGGGGAAATCTGTTCAAAATCTACTGATACAGATGAACACAAGTGAGGTTTTCAGTGGTTCAGTGACATACCGCTTCTGAAGTTTGGGGAAAGAGTCATAAATATTGCTCCACTTTTCATAATGATCTTTATATAAACTGAGTTATTTTCAAATAATAGCAGACATTGCTGTTTTATTTCTTGGTAAAGCATACATCATGTGCTAAACAAAGGAAAACTCTTATGTAAAAGACAATGAAACTAAAGCACTCTTAAACATTTGTTATGCAAAATAAGGAACCAACTGAAACCAGATTTAGATGGTGCATTACTCTATATTCAGAAAATTCCTACGAACTTTAGTTTTAGCCTTGTGCTGATATCACTATTCTATTTCAAATATTAAATCATCTCCATTTGGTTCTTGAAGAGACAAAATTGCCAGTGAAATAAATAGGACTTTTAGTTATTCAGAGCAAGATTTGTCCCCTACAGTCACAGAAATACTTCATGTCTTCACTGTCTTGGATGCAGTTACCAATAACTTGTTCACCTCCTCCAGTGTTTGGGATGGACTCTATCCTGCCAGGTACTTTCCATCAAGGCAGCCTTATCAAGGGAACAGCAATAAAATTTGTTACCGTTTTTTATTATCAGCCTGGCCTGAAACACTCCATATCCCAACACAGCAGCTGAGCCATGCAATCTGTGCACAAAGTTTTATTCAGCCCTGTTTAACATCCTTACTCAGTTATTCCTAAGCACCTCTGCCATGATTTCAGAGAAGGGGCTTGGTGGCCTTGCCCAGCTGTTTTTTCTGTACCACAAACATCATCCATTGCTGGGAGCTGGTTTCAGCAGGAAAAGCTGGGGAGCCAGAACAGGGAGTGCACCTGGCTTGCCGCAGTGGAGGAGCTGTCACCATTAACCCTGCTGACCTGCTCCCTCTGCCACCCACCACACTTCCCTTCCTGTTTTCTCCAGACCAAGACCAGGACAGCTGTGAGGTGCAAATGAGCCAGGGGGCCAGGCAGCACTCTCCAGACCAAGACCAGGACAGCTGTGAGCCAGGGGGGCAGGTAGCATGGAGTCAGAGCTATGGGAAGCCTCTGCCATCTTGGGGTTTGTTCCTGGTGGTGAATACCCTTTTGTGGGTAAAACATCTTCTCTTTTGCGTACTTTTGCTATTAATAACAACTGCTGGTTTTATTGTGTGTTTTTTATTTAATTGTTTTGCTCTTTTAGTAAATTGCTATTTCAATCCACAGTCTGTACTATATTGTCCCTCCCTTACCAGAAGAGGCAGGAGAAAGGGAGTGGTGTATTTGGAGCATAGCTCCCTACTGGTGTCAAAACCAGCACAACGTCCCTGGCAACTCTCCATATAGTTGAGTTCTTACACCTTTCTGACACCAAGGTGTAAAAAACATAAGGGAAAATTGGTGGTGGGGAATGCCAGTGGTGAGGAAGAGAAAATGAAGTGGGTGTATTTGGAGCTTAGCTCCCTACTGGTGTCAAAACCAGCACAACGTCCCTGGAAACTCTTCCATATAATTGAGATCTTACAGCTTTCTGACACCAAGGTGCTAAAAACATGAGGTAAAATTGGTGGTGGGGAATGCCAATGGCGACGAAGAGAAAATGAAATACCTAGGGTAAGTAGGAATGAGATACACTAGAATGAGGTCAGGATGAGTGAATGAAGCAGGGGGAAACTGTGAACCTACAGAAAGTTTGGGAGATGGAAGTGGGGTATAATTTAAGTATAATTTAATACCCCATTCTATTCTATTCTATTCTATTCTATTCTATTCTATTCTATTCTATTCTATTCTATTCTATTCCAGTCTTATCCTCCTTGATGCCACCCCACGTTTTTCCCACCTTTGATCCCTCCCTAAACATCCCACAGTATGCCTTGCACATTCTTAAAATCTCCCTAAAACAGCCAATAATAATTTTCAGATAATTTTTTCCTTGCATATCAGGTCCCACATAGCTTTAAAAAAACACCTCTTCAGTTCACGTTACATTAATGGAAAAC